ATTACAAAGTTGGGACATGCATGTTTAGGAATTGTTGGCAGTCGAGTTCATACTAGGGTCGGGGGTAGGTGTAGAGTCCATACTAGGGTCGGTGAAGTTTTCAGGTTACAAAATAGGTACATGCATGTTTAGGAATTGTTGGTAGCCGAGTTCATACTAGGGTCGGGGGAGTTTCAGAGTTGGTACATGCATGTTTAGGAATGGACAGGGGCTGTGTTCATACTAGGGTCGGTGAAATTTTCACCGAGGGTGGTTTCAAAGTTACTACATGCATGTTTTGGAAGTGATAGGGGCCGAGTCTATACTACTGTGGGATGGTTTTATTTTCACCGAGGCAGATTTCAAACGTGGACCATCCCTGTTTCGGAGTTGGTCGGGGTAGAGTTTACACTAGAGTGGGACGGTCTTTGTTTTCAACAAAATTGGTACATAGATGTTTGGTACAGGACTGTTTTGGAAATGGTGAGGCAAAGTTAAACTAGGGTCAGGGGAGTTTTCAACGAGGCTGGTTTCGAAATTCGGCCATGGATGTTTTGGAGTTGGATGGGAACGTTGTCACTTGTAACATTAGTTGAATACAGATACAAGTTTGTCTGTTACTTTGTCTGTCCAAGGGAATAGTGTGGGTAGTGGTATGGTGTGTTTATCTATCGGTTGTTTAGGGATGGGGTGAGAGCGGCGGACAAAGTTGTCGATGTAGGTAGGGCGCCTATGGTATTCATTACGGAGTGGTGTCTACAAGTTGCATATCTCAGTCTGTTGAAGTAGTGTCTAGGAGTTGTGATATTAGTTGAATAAATATTTGTCTGTAGGATTGTCCTACAGCCTTTGCCTCTTTAATGGAATAGAATGGGTAGTGGTACGGTTGGTATTGAGGTTAGGGATGAGAGAAGGGGAAAGGGGTTGCGGACAAATGGAAGGGGAAGGGCGAATAGTGATAAAAATAACTCACCCAGCCCCTTAATCAATAAAAATTATTGATTTGTACTTTAGAATGATTAGATTGAATGATATGTATGCTAACGTCATATCATATTTAGTTTATACACCCTTATTTTGGTGAAATTTAAATGTAGACATTTTAAACTGTGTGTCATTTGACACGACGTACTATAACGTTGTTGATTTTTAAAACTTGAAGTTTATAATCTTAAGCAAATTTACCACCACCTTACCACCACCTTACCACCACCTTACCACCTTACCACCACCTAAGGTGATCAAAAATTAAGATGACAATGTAAGATATAGAAAAAGAAAATACATTGAGTGGTAAAAATAAAAAAATTGTCATTAGACGTAATGTATTATGTATAAGTAAACTTTCTTAAAAATTAAAGAAGTTCAAGTCAAAAAGAAGATTGATGAAAACTGTAATACTAAAGCGAACATGGGAAGGTAATCTGCTGCAAGACTAAGATATATATTTTGTTAACCCTTGTCTTCCTAAATTATTTTTTAACTTTTTAAAGAAATTGACTGTTTAGTTAAGGATTCTGACGCGAATTTTTTCACAAGGGACGATACTCGTGTCTGTAGACAAGGCTGTTCTAATTTTAGAACAGTTGTCTTTCCTCTCGTTTCTCTATTAGGGAAGCCGTAAGGGGAAGACACGCGACACGTCTTTTAAAATGTAAACAACCGTGCACGGGGTACACTTAAAATAAACCCCGCTGCGAAAATGACAATGGCATGGTGACACTTTTTGGAAAACACGCTTTCATGTAAATAAAATAAGAGTCGCTTTTGTTGTCGCCATGATAATGTATACCTATAAGTTCTCTCCGCCATTACCGACCTAGTATGAATTTCGCGCGCGCGCGCATGTGTGTGTGTGTGTGTGTGTGTTTGTGTGTGTGTGTGTGTGTGTGTATGTATATCTCAAAAAAGCGTATCATGTCAACACCTGGGCAACAAGTCATAGTCAAAAAGGCCTAATTCATTACAGATCTATAGGAAATCCCTCTTTACATGTACTTACGTTAGGGGGAGTAAACTCATTTGAATAAAAAAAAAAAAAAAAACGTATTTAAATATATAGAGTTATAGAACCTTAACCCCGCATACCTACGTACCAACGCATCAAGTCGCCCTGTCGCCCATTAAAAAACACGAACCTACCGAGACTTCGTTTCGTCTCAAAACCTGACTTAACGGTGGTTGAAAGAAAATTCCGACCCTTAAATATATTTTTGTTTTCGCTGACCCTCGCTATAAGCGAATAGTTACAACCATTAATCTTTCATACATAGCAAGGGACGGTTCGCAGGACATGTGGAAACAAAATTTTTTTAATTTGATCAAAGAATGACCGGGCGTACGATATGTGAACATAGTTCATGTACAGCTGTAGTCTAATGAAAAAAAGCCGAGAGCCGTGACTAATTACAGCACCAGCTGTCGCCACACTTAACGCGGAGAGGGACTTAATGGCTTCGATTAATTACCTGTTGTGATCGCTTCAGTGAGCCCGCTATTAAGCAACCACGGGGAGCGCTGGGGAGGATCACGGGCGGATCGATAAGTACAAGCTGTCACTAATAAGTAACAGCTGTGGTTAAATGGATGTTATACACAATGACACTTTCTAGTACACGCTAGTGTTAGTCTTTTATTTTAAACGGCGTACAACAAAGAAATTAAAAGCAAACTAATTAAAATGAATTTCAAACAAATAAATTATACAAAGTAATTAAATTAAACAACAAGTAAACAACAATTAAAAATAAAATTTAAAAATAATAATTTTTAAAAAAAAAAAAAAATTTAAAAATTTAAAAAATTAAAATCGAATTACGTAACTCGTTAATAATAATTAAACTAATTATAAAATAAAATTAAAAATTTAAAAATTTAAAAAAATTAAAATCAAATTACGTAACTCGTTAATAAAAATTACACATAGGTGGACCATCATACTGATGGTCAGTGGGTTCGATCAATATTAACTTGGCCCTTGTACGGTGGTTGATAAGAACAAAGGATCGCATGTGGATCGATACGTGTCGGGTGCCATTAGCGAGTAACAGGTGTCTCTAATGGATGTTTGTAGTCGACATAAACCCACGATGCATGACCAAATTAATTAGGCGGACCATCATTTGATGGCCGTGTGTGGAATCAATATTAACGCGCCCGTTGTCCCGATGGTCCCGTGGGTGCGATCAATACATTCCCATTAAAACGGGCAGCGCCGAGAAAACTTCGCGGGCGGTCGATACGTAACAGGTGATACATGTCTGGTTAAAGGCTGGTATACAGAGACTGTTCTAGTACACGCTCGTTGTAGGGGAGAATTTAAAAACAGACATACAATCAAATAAACAAACCAACAAATTAAACAACAAAGAAAAGAAATATATCAAATAAATAAATAAACAAAGTAATTAAAATCAAAGAAATAAAATGAATTTCAAACAAATAATCAAATTACGTAACTAGTTAATAAAATAAAATTTAAAATTTAAAAATTTAAAAAATTAAAATCCAATTACGTAACTACTCAATAAAAATAATTAAAAGTAAACAAATAATCAAATTACGTAACTAGTCAATAAAAATTACACAATATAAACAAAGTAATTAAATTAAACAACAAGTAAACAAACAAAATTAAAATAATTAAAATCAAACAAATACAAAATAAATAAAAATCGAATTAATTAAACTTATTAAAAAATAAACAAACAAAACACAAACAAAGTAATTAAAATCAAATTAATCAAAAAACATTAAAATTACGTAACTAGGTCAAAAATTAATTAAAATTTAAAAAACTCATTAAAACTAATTAAAAAAACTCATTAAAATTACGTAACTAGGTCAATGATTACGTCATAATGTTACTAATTACGTCACAAGGTCACCGGTGGTGACCTACTGACCTACTCCCGCTCCTGCTCACCCACCCTAGGGTGGGTGAGTATTTTACTATATCTCATTGTACCTGCGGCTCACCCACCCTCACCCACCTGCTCACCCAGGTGGGTAAGTATTTTACTATATCTCATTGTTCCTGCGGGTCACCCAGGCTCACCCACCTTCACCCAGTTGGGTGAGTATTTTACTATATGTCGGTGTACCTCCTGCTCCCCCAGGGAGTATTTTACTATATCTCGTTGTTCCTGCGGCTGCGGCAGGCTGCGCCTGGTGGGTGAGTATTTTGCTATATGTCATTGTTCCTGCGGCTCACCCAGGCAGGGAGTATTTTCCTATATAACCATTGCTCCTGCTCCTGCTCCTGCTCCTGCTCCCCTCACCCTGCGCCTGCGCCTGCGACCCAAAAGGGACCTAATATACTACTGATATTTGGTTACATTTACGGTAACATATCTGATCTTAGTGGACCGTGTGGGGTCAGTCCAACTGTACTTTGGGTTTAGACTAAATCAAATAAACAAAAGAGTGGGCTAGTAATTTTTTGTGTTAATGACCAGAACTATAGTTTGAACGGGTTATATTCATACACTCAAGCATATTTCATGGAGTTTTAAACGTATTCCTCAAGTTGATGCAACAGTACCCTATGAAAGTGCAAAAGGAAGAGATCAAGAATTTCTCACTATGGTTATGTTTCTTATACACCTTATTTTTGAAATGATGTAGAAATAAAACAATGTCTAATATTATCATGTAAATTTAATAAACTAACCTGTTTTATTCTACTCCTCAACACTAATCTGTTACAGAAGTTATAAGCGGTCTACTGGTACAGCACTCAACACTTAAATCTCTCATATATCAAAATATATAATTGACGTCATATATTCATTACATATATGATGTATATCAACAGTAAATGATTTTGTAAGTCTTATATGTGTAATGAAAATAACGATTTTTTAAGGTTAGAATGTATTCAACTAAATTTATATAAAGATAATGGATCATGTGCTTCTAATTTCAAGTTCGATGTTTCTTGTAGCAATTATGTGTTACACTTTTTTGTTACACATACACATGTTTATATAAGTAGTTATATAAATAATTATTTAGTTTAATAGATGTAACGATTTTCGTTTGTGTTGATGTTTGTTAATTTAAAGATACAGTGTTACTAAATAAAGGAAAACATGTTTTTAATACAGATAAGCTGTCATTTATTTATTGAACGAATGTAGTGTTCACAATTACGGAGACTTGTAGTAAAATAAAAATAATTGTAATTTTTATTTTACAAATGACTAACTTGGATTAATAGCCTACTTTCGATACATAGGGCACATACTGATGATGTACAGTGAAGATATTTTAATATTCGTCTTTGTGGAAGTTCATTTGGTTTGTCTCAAGGGTTCTGTTAACAATGTAAATACATTTTAATTTTTTTTTACAAACCAAACGTATTCAAATACATTTGTGCTCCTATACAGTGAAGGAAATGGTACATACTTATATTCTATAACGTTGGTCAAGTAGAAAACATAATTAGTGATCATATTAAATCAATACAAACAAAATGATAACTAAACAAATTTCATGTAAATCATTCAAGTGTTTGTAGACATACAGTCTACCCACTTAGTAAGTTGTTAGCGTGTGTTTAACATGGTGGTTACATATTTGATTGTTTTAAAAATTACCATCCACCATGTTTTGTGTTGTACTTCTATAAACTAACGATAGTAAAACTACTGCGCCAGGATAAAGCTGCGTCTTGATCTGCGTGAAACACTTCAAGGTAAATTACTTGACCTTTCTTCATGTCAACAACCACTGACCCAGCAGCGCTAGTGTTGGCACATTTCACTTCTATAGCCGTACAGCACCTGCCTCCAGCCATCACAGCAACTCCAATCTGCTTATCTTCCCATTCATGTAGAGTTACACAAACAAGATATAAACCATCATGTGGTGATACAAATGTTCCTGTTGTTTGATTAAAATGTTGACCGTTATATTCACGTACTTCTTTAAATCTTGAAATAATTGATCCAGTACTGACAGGTGTGGGACCAGCAAGCTGTACATGACAAGCATATCTGTTACATACACGTGACTCTGTTGATTAGAAAACATTTATGATGTACATGTTTAATTCCACACATGCTCTGACTATTAGATTCATATGTTTGTGAATTGTTATTTAATTATTTTATGTAATTAACACTAAACATAATCTCAGTATATGTGTTTTGCATGCAGTTCAGAATGTAAGTAAAAATGGCTAACCCAAATAAAACAATTGTTTTTGAAAAAAATGAACTGTGTATAATAATCCATAATGTTTACATAATTAAGTCTAAGACCACAGAATGAAACACTAGACCACTAGTTTAGTACGGTCCTCTGCGTTAGTGGTGATAGTTTATCGTGTCCTACGTATTAAAACTACGAGTGTAGTAGGTGACGTAATACGTCACTAAAGTACAGCAATAGTTATTTGTGTTATGTTATAATCATACATAACGTTATGGTCTGTCTGGCTAACGAACATCACATTATGGTCTGTCTGGCTAACGAACATCACGTTATGGTCTGTCTGGCTAACGAACATCACATTATGTTCTGGCTAACGAACATCACGATATGGTCTGTCTGGCTAACGAACATCACGATATTGTCTGTCTAGCTAACGAACATCACGATATGGTCTGTCTAGCTGTATGATTTGGAATAAAAAATGTAAGACAAACTTACCTATTAGATTCAAATCTTTGGACAATTTTGAAATAGCATCTTCAATATTTTCCAGCTAAAAAAGATTTTATAAAGTGATTGAAAATATCACATAGTTACGTAGAACATAAAATCACTGCGCTGATTTTAACAGGGTGTGTCAGCTTGTAAGAATAGAACATAATTTAAAACAGGGATTATTTTATAATTATAAAGGCTTAAATGTTTCGCTTAATTTAGAAAACATGGTATTAACTGGTCAGCTAACATAGTGTTAAAAATTAATGCACAATTATCAACGTCATAGTTTATTTTTATCAAATTACTACACGTAGCCCTATACCTTTGTTATCCTTTTTTCCCTTGTTTCCAACTTCTGGTTAAAGATTTGAATCAATTTTTCAATGGGCATCAATCTTTGGTGCAGTAGCTTGTTTATTAAAATGTACTAAAGAGCAGAAAATTGAATAAAAGCATTACAATTTTAATTATTTTTACTATGCATTATAATTATCAAAAACATGTGTCTTAAAATTGGTATTGTATTAAAGGTATAACTGTTGATACAGTTAATAAGTTGTCTTTAGATTTAACCAGGTTATAAAATGTGAAATAAGTTATGTGGCCAGTATGTGTAAAATTGTGTACACAGATAATTCGCAATTTTACCTTTTCTAATTGAGTTGATGTATTCAGCATATTTTTAGAAAGCACTTCTTGTAGGTTAGACATCTTATCAGAATGTGTTTTAATTTCTTGAGTTATACTGTCTGTTTTGTCTGTGTGATCTTGCATTTCTTTATTTATTTTGTATACGCTATTCTCATATTCCTTCATATCTCTAAAAAGTTTATCTAGTGTTTTGTTTGACTTGGATTCTTTTTCTTTTAAACTTTCAATTTCTTTTTTCAGCTCCTTTACTTTGTTATCTTGTTCACTCATTTGTTTTCTGAGGTTTTTAAAATTCTGCTTTTGTTTTTTGGTCAGTTGTTCAATGTTTACCCCCATGTCACTCTGTTCTGTTACAATGTTGTCTCTCCATTGTTTTATTTCTGCTATGTCATCTGTAGACTTGTGTTGTGTGTCCTGTAGTGAAGATAGTGTTGTTTCAATATAGGCGAGTCTACGCTCTAGGTCAGGATGTTCTTCAACTGAGAAAAGTCACAAATATAAGTTTGAAATTTAAAATACCGAAATCTTGAAAAAAAAGTGTGTTAAAAATTAAACAAAACCAAGGTATCAATCGTACATTTTTTTACAAAATACAATACATGTACATATTTTAAAATTATATCGAGTATATGATGATGCTATTTAACGTGTTACACCAAAGCATACTATAATATACCCGCTGTATGTGTGACTTGTGTCTTGAGTTGTCTTGTTGATTCTACTGTTAGAAATGTTGCTGTTGTCTGTGTGTCAGGCTGTGGTAAAGATGGCGTTGGTTTGTTGACATCCATGTTGTCCTCGTCTGGTGGAATCGGATTTATAATTTTATTTTAATTGCAGTTTAATTGAACAAGGATACTATAGTACACACAATAAGTTTTACTGGTTTAGCTAGTTTAAACTATAACGCCAACCATGTAATGTTCTGATGAAAAAAAACTTTGATTATCATCCAAATTTAAGCAAACACAAATAGTTCCAACACTTCATTACTGAACACAGAGACTACATTACCATAGGCAGAGGCGTAGCGAGGGGGAGGGGATGCGGGCGGGGTGTGCGGACTGCACCGGGTGACACCATTTAGGGGGGTGACACCAAGGCAAAAAATAGCAAAATATATAGAGGAAAACTCGAGCGGGGGTACAAATCGAATGTTTGAGGGGGGGGGGGGGGGGTTGCAAATCGAAAGTTTGAGGGGGGCGGTGCAAATTGAAAGTTTGAGGGGGGGGGGGTGCAAATCGAAAGTTTGTCCCCGGGAAGGGTCGATACTACTCTGGGGGGTGACACCATTAAGTGCCGCACCGGGTTAAACCCGACCTCGCTACGCCACTGACCATAGGCGGCTTTGAGATTTTAAATTATAAAAACTATTGGAGTATTGACTTGAAATATGTGACGTCACATCCAACAAGGCCGTGGCTGCTGTGTCCAGTTCTTGTGATAGCTCGATGTAGCTGACAGATGATTGGTCAGTTTTTTCTTCTAGCCACGCCTTACTTTTTGCAACAACCTGGTTAAAGCAAACAACAACAATATTTTCAAGTTGCCACGTGTGGCAGAGCTTTATTCCTAAACACGTGTGGTTGTTCTGTGTTTTTTAACACATGCACTTCGAAAAACTCTAAACCTACTTTATCGTGAATAAAATGATCTTTACATTTTAAGTATAACGAAGAATTTTTAGTTTGTAATGACTTACATTTTTCATATTTCCCAAAACAGGTTCCAGAACTTTTATCTGTTCTTCCAAATATTTCTTGCGCTCTGTAACAAACTTGACGTGAATTCTTGAAGGCATCTAAATGTTAATAACACTAAATTAAAAAAAATATATTAACTCTGTCATCATCACTAAGTAAAACTAAAGCAGTATTTCTTCTAGGCTACCCCCCCCCCCCCTATGATAATCTACCGCCCCCAGACGAAACATCGAAAATATATACTTTTAACAGTAGGCGCCCCACCCCTCCCACCCCTTGGAATTTTAGTTCTCCCCCCTCACCTCCACCCAAAAAAAAATTAAGTGCCACCCCCTCTCCCCTGGAGAAGAAAGCTGGAAGAAGCACTGATCTAAAGTCGTTTCATATAGATCATTTTATGATAATATGTAGTCTATTTGTTTTCATTAGAATAGTAAGTCCAGTGCACATGTTATTAATGTCCGTCAATATGTAGATGACTATATCGTAAAGTATCCTGGAATAGGATCTGATAGTGGAAGTATTGTTAACATAACGTATTTTTTATAACAAAATCCACTGCGCTCATTCGTCATAGTTAAATCCTTTAACTACTAAACTTTGCTAAAATTATACACTTGGGTATTTCCGATTTTCACTTTCATTATCTATCCAGCGTTGTGATGAACTATTTAATATTTATCTATGAATTGCCTAATTATACAGTAATAAAATACGTTTTAAATAAAACGACCTACATTCTTTTCTATTAATAAATATATTTTTATGGAAATTATTATCAAGCTTTATACTTTAAAAAATAATAAGAATAGCTTAGTAAGAATTAAAGTAGAAGAGCTTTTGATTTAGTTTAAAATTCATTATTTTAAGTTTTTTTGGTTAGATTAAAAGGAAATGCTATTTTAAAAATAGATGAAATAGATTAAAGATTAGCAGTACCTTAAGTAGGCGTATTTTTGTTGTGAGGAATCAAAGGACTAGAATTGTGTAGAGTTGCAGAACTTCCTCCTTTAAATAATAGTGGGCTTTCCGGAAACGCGTTGTCATTATTAGAGTTATCTTTCTTGTAGTGATGATTTAATTACGTGTAGATCAGCCACAACAAGAAATCTGTTTCATCAAAACAACATTCTATCTAAATTTAAGTTAACAATTGTAGATCTCATACACAACGTTTTAATTATTTACACATCGACTAACGCGTGTGAAGTTTAAATGCGAAATTGCACCACGATATATCATATATCGAGGCGCTAAAATGCGAAATTACGTAACATTTGTGTCTCGCAGTTGAAATACTTCACTGGGACTATTGCATCTGCATTTATAATTATGTTATCAGAGGCGCAGCGTCCCAAGCCGGCCCGATGCGAACTCTTAATTGTGTGCCCCTACCCACTTTTTTTTGTGGCGTTTGTTAAAAATTCCCCCCCCCCCCCCCCCCCCCACCGCAGCACCATTTGAAAAGGTTGGTGGCGCTTTTAACCAGTCACTACTTTTTTTTTAGCCACACTTAGACTATTCAATACCTCAGCTATCAATGTTTTCTACGCGATTTGACGCCCCATTAAGGTCGGCAGCCTCCCCACCCGCCCTACACTAACTACGCCACTGTATGTTATTAAGAGTCACATGCATTTATGATCACTTTATCGGTAAGCAATGTAGAGGTGCCACTTTATAAAACACATGTAGATGTTACTTTCAAATGAACATTTATTTAGCCTATCTATCACTTACATGCAGATGTCTGAGTACAACCCCATCCTTGAATCTTTGAACATTTTGTTGGAACAGTTAGAGAACATGCATGTTCATGTACAAAGTAATTTAAGTGATTCTGTCATACATGTTAGTCTAACGTATATGTTTCTAATGCACTTATATACTTAAAATCGAATATATGTGAATTTATTAACCTGTATTTAAAAATATTTATATTTTCTTGTATGGTTTATGCCTTTGCTAACAATGAGCATTTATATTAACTAAACTAATAATGTATCAAGATTTGGAAACTATTTTCTAGTAATTTGTTTGCTCTAATTAATTAGATCAAAATAAAAACAAGGAACTGGATGGATAAAACGTCTGACAATGATATGGCATTTAAAGATGTAGTTTCCATGGTAACATCCGCGAATGCTATATTGATAAAACATCTAGATATTATAGCTGGTAAACTGAACATGTGTATCTTGCTGTTAGATTGGCTGCTCTAGTGCTATGTTCAACTTTTGGTTTTAGTTCTTTACTCTCAGTTTTGAAATATAAATTGTGTAACATATAACAGAAAATTTAGGTATGGAATTTAGCTATTATTTTAGAGAATAGTGTTTATTTAATGTTGAGCATACACAAAGCAAGAGGTTTTTTTAAACAAATATTGTTTAATATATTTACTTTAGATTGATTAAGCATGTAGTAAACCAAATCAACGTTTAAACTGAGAGTGACTTTCGGTCAAGATAAAAGCATATTTGTTTTAGAGCTTTTTTCTAAATTAAATTATAGATTCCTACCAATGAAAGACTTTTTTTTATAAGTTTCAAATAACTCATTGTTAGACCAAACATTTTTTACAGAATGCAACATGCAGTCTACCAAGATAGTTTTACAACACAAGACACCTGGTGTAACAGGCACCAAGGAATCTCAAACTGATGAGAGGGGTTTCTGAAATTAAGAACAAATATTAGCTTAATAGGTGTTGTAACTATTGTTGCCTAAAAGGTTTTTTACTGTTTAAATTTAAAAGAGTTGTTATAATACACTAGTTTATTTTAAAAGAGTTGTTATAATACACTAGTTTAATTTAAAAGAGTTGCTATAATAACTAGTTTAATTTAAAAGAGTTGTTATAATACAATAGTTTAATTTAAAAGAGTTGTTATAATACACTAGTTTAATTTAAAACAGTTGTTATAATACACTAGTTTAATAACTATTTTGTTGTTGCTAGTCTGTGGAAGCATCTCTCATTTTGTTTTTGTAATGTGTTTAAACCATGTAAACTATATCTATACTTAGAATCAATCTTAATCAACTCCGATTTGTCAAATCGAGTGAAACTTGTTGAGAAAGCTACAGTTTCTCTTCAAGGAAGGAAACAAAAGATGAGGTGTCAGAATTGAAACAATGGAGAGAACACATGCTAACATAACAGAGCGACAGCACAACAAGAATTGAACAATTAAGTAAAAAGCAGAAACAAAACACTAGAGAAACTGTCTCTAGATAAAAAAAACAATATGAAAACAACCTACACAAACGAAATAAAGTAATGCAAGTTCACACAGATATTACTAATATAATGGCCGACGTATCAACCAGCATTACTAAATTACAATTAAAGGTAAGTCAAAATAAAATTTAAATTTTCTAAATACTTGCGTACACCATTCTTCAACTCATCTGTAATTACAAGTTTTTATCTGAACACAACACTAAACAGCTGAGGTATATAAAGTCTAGAAGTGTTTCCATTATGAAACTAAACTTTCTTTCAACATTTGTTTTAAGTCTATTTGGTGTCACCACATGAGGTTCGCACTTCCACCTCCGCCTCGCGACGCCTCTGTATACACATACTGGTAGATTAAATCATAATTTTTAGAGAATGTCAATTGTTTCAAGGCATGTCTCCACCCCCACCCCCCCCCCCTCCCCCTCCCCTGAAGGAAATGGAATTTATATAGAAAATGTTTATTTTTAACAATGTCCGCTCCTCCGGAAATTACAGCCCCCCCCCCCCTCCCCCCGAGAGAAAAATCTGGAAGAAACATTTCACGTAACAAAAATCATTTCTATATTACAAATTACCATCCCACGTAGTGTTATATTAGAATATTCGAGAAAGTTTAGGGGAGATCACTCCAGGTTTATTTTCACGCATTTAGATAGCAAATGCTTAAGAATATTACACTATGGCGATCAAGGCAAGCTTTTTACTATATGACTTTTTTGCAAAGCGTCTGGCCGCCCGCTATGTATATATTCAATGTAGAGCCCATGGAAATTTTTAACATTTTATCTAAGCAACAATGTGTGTTATTTGCTGCAAAACAATCACTGCTATAGTAAACATGTCTGTCGTTTTGCAAAATGTTTTACAAAACCATTATCACGATGCACGAAAAATAAACACTATTTATGAATAAAAATCATGTTTTTTTAATCAAATTGTTATATGGTTAGATTTTTACAATGCACACTTACCGATTGTTTAAAAATCTTTGGATAACTTTGAAATATTATTTTTAACATTGCCAAACTAAATAAAAATTAAGTTTAAATTAGAAAAATAAAATAATCACATACTTAGATACAACATACAATTAATCCACTGACATTAATTAGGTATGGCAACTAATGAGATTTAGAATACACAATATTTTGAAGCTATTTTATAAAAATCAAAGTATTTACGAAAACATGTTTTAGACTTGTCTAATAATAGAGTATTAAAAGTTAAATCATGATTTATGAAAATTACTACTTATTTCTTAATATCAATAATTACAAGATATATTTTCTCTTCCCTAGTATCCAAAATCTGGTTAAAGATTTGAATCAGTTTGTCACTGTGTATCAATCTATGTTGTAGGCGTTTGCGCATAACACTGTGCTAAATAGCCGACGATTTTAATTGATAACAACTAAATTTGCCTATTTCTATTGCTGAATAAATTGCATTTTTAAATTTGTGCCTTAAAATTAGTTTTAAATTAAAGGTTTTCCTGTTGATATATTATTTATCTAACATGTAATTACTTCTTATAAACTTGGTTATAAAATATGGCGTCAGTAAAATGACAAGTAGGTGAAGAATTGTGTACCCAATTAATTACCAAATAAAAACTTATCTCTGATTGCACCTCTTCAAGTTTGGTTGATATATTGACCATGATTTGCTTGTTATCTCCTTGTAGAGAAACAATTAAAACAGAATGTCTTTGCATTTCTTGTGTTATAATGTGTGTTTTAACTGTGCAAATTTGCATCTCTTTATTTATTTTGTGTGCGTTATTTTCATATTTTTTCATATTTAGTGACAGTTTTTCTAGTGTTTTTTTTTTAATTTGGATTCTTTTTCTTTGAAACTTTCAATATCTTCGTTCATCTCTTTTACTTTGTTTGTTAGTTGTTCAATGTTTAACACCACGTCACTCTGTTCTGTTACATAGTTGTTTCTCCGTTGTTTTATTTCTAAAATGTCATTAGTAAAGCATAATAAAATAAAGTGGCAATATTATCTACTAGATAAATGGCCAATTTAGGAAAAAATTAAAATATCGATATTTTAACCGGAATCGTTAATTTAGCCAGATACTGAAACTACGACAGAAGAAGGAGTAATTTAACTGGAGACACAATATAATTGAAGTGGGATTTTTATCCAGGGAGGTATTAAACCGGATACGGAAATTTTACTGGATGGATAAGGAAATTTAGTCAAAAACGGAAATATATAAAAATATACGGAACTTTATCCGGAATCCGCACTTTAACCGGATCCGTAAATTTAGTTCGATATTAAAAGTTAGATCCTAATCAGCTCCAAATATAACCGAAACGAAACTTTATTCAGAACCAGCATTTTAACTTAATCAGGACTTTCAACCGGAATACAAGATTTAGCTGGGAACTATACGTAAACTGAAAGTAGATTAAAAATAAAAACAATAATTTTATCCGGTAACGAAATTTAACTGAAAACGAAAATTTATCCGGAAACGGAAAATTGACTAAATGGAATTTGACTGAAATCGTAGCCTTAATAGTTACGAAATTTACTAGGAAACGGAACTTTATTTATTCGGTTGAGCTGAGGAAATTTAACCTGAAAAGAAACCCTAATAACTCAAACCTCAACCGTAATCCGAATACTAACGTTTATCATATAATTAATTGTTCGGTGTTGTTGTGCATCAATTACTAAAAATAAAAATAAAGTAAAATCCGATTTATTATTATTTGCATCCTTTTAAATTTTTAAATTATCTAATTTATTAATATTTTCCG